GGAAGAAAAGGAAAATGTAGAAGTGAAGAAGAAAAAGCGTTGGACAAGGCGGGAATGAGCCAAAATAATAAACGACGGGAAAAAAAAAAGAAGTTTAAAAGCAAAAATGACGGAAAGAAAAAAAAAAGGAAAGGTTGAAGGAGATTTGATAGAAAATTAAGAATCGGAAGATAAAGGTTAAGGAAGAAATTATAATTACTTGGGAATAGCTGTATTGTATAAAAATTGATATTTGAATAGGAGGAATATTGGCTAAAGAATTGAAGATGGTTAATGGTAAAAGGCAAAGGAAGTGAAAGAAGAATAAGAGAAGAAGAAAAAGACGATGAGTGCCAGAGCATCCTGATGTATTACTATAATAATAATAATAATAATAATAATAATAATAATAATAATAAAGAAAAACTTAAACATATATTAGAAATCATTATTAAAGAAGAAGAAGAAAAAGAAGAAAAGAATATAAAATTAAGACAGAAACAAAAGAAAGCGCTTCCTAAAATGAACGAGCAAGGAAAAGAAAAAGAAGAAGAAGAAGAAGAAGAAGAAGAAGAAGAAGAAGAAGAAGAAGAAGAATAGAAATGGAAGAACGACGTAAAATTAAACACTCCCAAAGTTGAAAGTACTTGATGAAGAAATAAAGAAAAAAGAAAGAAAGGAAAAAAGAGAAACAAAGAAAAAGAGCAACAAACGAAAAGAAGGAAAACTAACGAAGGAGAGGAAGGAAGAAAAAACAAAAAGAACAATAATGCTATGTATCTTGCTATTTTGCTCGGAACTTCTTCTATGGAAGAACGAGTGTGAAAGAAAAAACGAAAAGAAAAACGATAACCAAAGAAAAGAAGAGATTTAAGGGAAAGACATTAACAAAAGAAAGAAGACGTGGCAAAGAAAAAAACGAAAAAAAGAGAAGCAAAAATGAAACAAAAATATGAATGAAAAATAGAAGGGAAACACAAAATATGCGAAGTAGCAGTACAGAATCGATGAAGAAACCATTATTCCAACAAAAAAATCTATTCTTCTCAAAATGATTCCTGAATAGACTAGTCCGAGACGACTTATGACAGATTGTCAGTTCTCTGCTATTTGGATGTCCTGAGTATTGATTGCGAAATAAAGAATAAAAAACATTATTTTGCTTCTTTCAATCATCTGAGGCAATGAAATAAGTAATTCGGTGAAGATACTGACTACAACGATATCGGAAAGTTGTCAGATTAGGCCAAGATCACATACACTTTTGAATTCAGAGTTACCCTTATCCTAGACTGGTTTCCAGCCACGGCTAGTAAATCCATTACCGTGGCAAGAAGAGATTGATAAATATATTCCCCAAAGATATTTGTGTGAAGGGGAAAGAATTTTTTTAAATATCATTTCACTCCAAGCAAGGCAATAAAACCTCTAAGATTCAAGGAGATTCCTGAGTTTGAAAGAATATGAGAAAAAGAAAATCATTATTAAGGAGACAGAAAGAATAAAGAAATAGATCTTAAGAATAGACATCGATTGTATTGATATAGCATTTAAATTTTTAGTTTCAAAGTTGGCTTGGAAGCAAGGGAGAAGTGCGAGAGAAGAGACTGTTAACCTACGACTTATAATTACATCTAGCAATTTCGATATTATAATGATGAGACCTAGCTGCCAATCTAGTACTGCGCTTAAATTTGTAAAGTCGAAGTAGCATTGAAGAAAGCTCAGAGGAACAATTACCATGAAAATATTTATAGAAAAATCTATAAATGTTACATTACAGCAGTGGGAAAGTGACTGAAGCCAAGATACTAAGACAGGACTAATAACATTGCAGATCCATTTTTGGATTTTATCAAGAATATCTAAGTACATATTCTAAGAAGCGCCACACATGTGGCAGCAATATTAACGGAATGGGTGAATGCTAAGCTTATAAATGTTTAAGATACATTCTAGTGGGGAAAAATGTCTAGCACGACACAGTGAACCAACTTTCTTAACAGTAGATATGACAATTGATTCAATATAATATTTCCACATCGTGACAACGGAAGATGTTAGCTAGAGAATGTGAAATGAGTTACTCTCCTAGAGGTTAGCATCAGTCATGCTGAGGGAAGGTAAGAAAGGTTCTCTAGGACGACTAAAAGAAGAAAATTTCATTTTGGAGGCGTTAGAATTAACAAGCCATTACTTGCCCCAGTTAACAACGGATTTCTTTTAGATCAGCTGCCAATTTGACCTTATCGAACATATCAGACTTACAGTTAAGACAAGAGTAAATGGTTTCGTCATCAGCATAGATTCCAAGAACTGATAACATTGGGATGGGTGTTAATGAAAATTAAGAACAATATAGATCCAAGAATAGAGCCCTGGTGGTGGGGGGAACGCCCGGATTAACTGAAAAAAAAGATCAAGAGGAGTGGCCGTTCAAGATAACTTATCTCGTTCGAATATGAATGAATTTTATTAATTTAATGCTAAGACTTAGCATAATAAATAAAGTGATATTAAACAGTCAATTGTTGCTTTCGCGTTGCATTGCCTCAGTACAAGTAATTTGCTAAGTAAGAGTGTTTTAAGATAACCACTGAGATAATTTAGGCACCTCGAGGCGGTGTAATAGCAAGCTTGTCTCGTTAGAACAATTACGACTGAGTAGTGAGGTCGATCCTCACTGGGTGCCACCTACTTTCGGCCTTGTCCCACATCTAAGCTGCGCTTGGAAAATCACTGTGTAACTACTGAGATACTTATGATCAGACTTACAGTCTTTATAGGTTGTTTATTTTATATAATGGAAAACGGAGACATGTTGAAAACGTTTCATATCCGAAGGATATCAAGCATACAACGGAACACAGGCAGCCGCCATTTGCATAATACATCGTGGTTGTCTTGTTTTGTCAGCCGCCATTAATCTGTATTTTATTGCTGTTACAACGAAATCATGTTTTTGTGATGCTTTATTTTATTTTTTAGATACTGGAAGAAAAATATTGGAATCGAGAACTTTTTAAATAAATTAACACACCTGACCTCAATCGTAACTCGTACATACGATCTATTGCTACGTATATAAGCAAAATGGTTGGCTCCGTGTACTACTCCAGTAAGTACCTGACTCATCCTGCTATTCTCTACTTTTATAAGAGCCAGATCAGAGCAAAAATGGACATTTTTGGAAGGGGGCAGCCCAGACTTCACACTCCAGCCTTGATAGAGTTCAAAAGCGTCTCTGAGCCCTTGTGAGTGACGAATTATTCTTCACCCTCACTCACAGGCGGGATGTAACAAGCCTCTCGCTAATCTATCACTACTTCTACGGAAAGTGCTCGAACGAACTACATTCCCTGGTCCCGCCAGTTCAAGCCTTCACGGCAGGGACACGCCATGTCACTGAAATATTAGCAAAACACCATCCACTTTCCCTCTATGTTTTATCGGTGGGAAGTAAGTTGCACTTGAACAGCTTCTTTCCGCGAACCCCTGTTCTGTGGAACCGACTGCCAACAGGATGTTTCTCCGATAATTACAATCTCAAACTGTTCAAGGCTAGGGTTAACCGTTATCTTCCCATTCTAACCGTACAAATTGCTTCCTAACGTAAACATTCTACATCAAGTTGACCTCGGGCCATCAAAACTTCATTAAAGCATTTTCAACTTTATATGTGATCACATGGGGTGTCATTTTTAGCAGCGAGAAATCTTTTTGTTATATACTGTACCTATGAACACTAATGGGTATGTCCCAATCCTCATAAGTACGTTGGACACTATTGTAGTAGGGGTAATATGCTGTATAAATAGTCCACTACTAGCAGTGGTTTACCTAATTCACGCCGCTGGCGAGTATTGTATTTTGTTGATGTTATAAAGATTACCATTTTCATTTCCAACCTCGTTTTTATTCCTCATTCAGTAACATTTTCTAGGTTACAATGCTTTTAGCCGAGTTCGAGTTCCGGGCAAGTTCGTTACTCTTACTACTGCACAAATCCCCTTCGTAAAGGTATGAGTCCATCTCTTATCACATCCATCTATGGCAGGCTGTTATTCCTGTATAATTCACTCGCTTCTCGCTAAAAAACCAGCGTTTTAACAAGGCGAGTACAGAATTGAAGTATCGAGGGATAATGATAAGGAAACACAGGTGATATATTTAGCAAAACAAGATAAGTGATTTATTTACAAATTTACACATTTGAAATTGTCAGTAGCTTGTTTCAGGAAAGAAATCAAATATTAAAGTTCGTAGTTTCGATGAATTGTCAAGAAGAGAAAACGTTTATATTAATTCATCAGACACAAAGTAATCCAAAATGTTTAAAACAAATTGAGAGAGTTTGTTTTTCGCAAAAAAGTCATGTGGTTGTATTTAAGATGAATGAAAAGATATATTTTAAGGTACTTAGCAGTCGAAACAGCTCTAATGATCACAATTATTTCACAAAATTTACTTGATGAGATCAAAGGTGCTACTTTGAAACGATAAAAAAATCATTTTGTATTACTTGACAATGTTCGAACAGCAAAAAACAAGAGCTATTTCCAGAAAGAAATCTGAAGTGTGGCTTTTGTTTCCAAGAGAAACTGAAAATTATTACGTTTTCCTGAACAAGACCGCCTCCTTAATAAAACATATGATCATGTTTGTAAGTGCAGAAATAAGAACAAATTCTTATTGTTTCAGTTCGAGACTAAATAGAAACTGGGAAACATTTTCAATATGGTACTTACCGTCTACAACTGTTAGAATCACCCTCTTTAAAATTGGAGAAAATGGCGGTCGTAGATGAACCAACTTCTCGGCACTTAAAAGTTGGTTAAACTTTTTAAAGCCTCTTTTAACATATGCTGCCGTATCTGAAAAAAACTGACAGTAGTGCCTATAAGCTTCCAATGACCAGAATTTTAAACGTTTTTTAGTGTTTTAAAGGCAGTTTTCAAAATATTAGTCCATTGAGAAGATAAGAAATCGGAAATTGAAAAAGCTGTCATCATCGATCAAAATAAAGCACCTGTTCCCGTATAATCATGGAAGTTAAGTAACGTCGAGCCTGGTCAGTACCTAGATGGGTGACTCCTTGGAAATACCAGGTGCTCTAAATGTGGAAGTGCGGGTGGTGCAATGGATAATGGCTCCAAATTATTAATCGGAGAGATGAGCTTCAATTCCTGTTGGGTTCTTTATATTCAGTTACGCGCAAATACCCTAGGGAAAATCTGAATTCCCTTTTTCTCTCTCCGCTATGTGTTAGTAAGATTTGTATCACTAATCATTATTAATCTAAAATAAATAATAAAATTCCGTACAAAATATTTAGATTTAGGCATTAAATAACCCATATAGGTGTTGATATACTACTAATCAAAAATAACCAACCAACATATATTTTCAAACAATATGGAAATCGTAAATCGAATTATTTGGTATTAGTTGACAATGTTCTCGTAGTAAAAAGCAAAAGCTATTTCCTGAACAAGACCGTCTCCTTTTGTGTGGATTGTGTTTCCAAGAAAGATTGTAAATAATCTCTTTTCCTGAACAAGACCGTCTCCTTAATAAAAAAAATCTGAAGAAGTTTGTAAATACAAAAATGACAATAAGTGCATTCAGTTTCAGCTGGCAACTGAATAGAATGGGAAAATTTTCAATGAGGTTGGTACCGACTTCGACGATTAGAGCCATCTTTTTAAACTAGGAGAATATGGTGTTAGTAATTGTATCACCTTTTCGGTGCTTAAAAATTGTTTGACTTTTTTTTAATACTGTTTAAACATTTGCTCCCAGATGTAAAGTTAACTTGCATGTTAGAACTGACAAGAGCTTCTTAAAACCGGAATGTTAAACCTTTTCCGAAGACGATTTAAAATATTAATGTATGAAGTTCCATTTAGAATATCATATTCCTGATATTAAACACTGTTAAGGAACAACGTTAAGTTATATGTATCAAAATAATTTAATGTTAGTTATTTATCTCTCTCTCTCCATATATATATATATATATATATATATATATATATATATATATATATATATATATATATATATATCTATGTGTGTGTGTGTACGTGTGTGTTAACCATTTTTCATTGACGCCAAACTCTTGAAGCAATTTAAATTCTGTCACATGGTCGGCTGATGGCTGTCTTGATTTGGTGCCTTGTGAGCATACGTTCGATTTGTTATAGCCATACAAAAAGGTTTCAACTTTTTTTCATCTTTATATTTCATTACCATCAGTGTTTAAATATAGACTGTCTAAAATGCTTAAACGTAACGGAGAAAATTGGTTACTATATATATATATATATATATAGATATAGATAGATAGATAGATAGATAGATAGATACAGTAAGCTCTCACGTATGATCCTTATATTGTATAAAAAGAGTTGACAAATACGAATACTTGTTTTATTTAGTTGGGATGTGGTGGCAAAATTTTGCAAAAAATTATTATACTCCCACATGTCAACTAAATATAAAAATCATAAAAATACACAAAAAAGTAATTCCCAAAAGCAGAATCATATTATATATAATGTGGAGGCCGTGGTTGAAGCCAATGGAGATTTTATTGAATAAATTTACCCTTTAGTATTTCAAGACATTTTTGTGTAATTTTGGTAAATATATATTAAAATGAGATGCCAGTTTTATTTTTCATTTTTGCGTAATCTAGATGACAATTTATTCATATTTGATATATATATATATATATATATATATATATATATATATATATATATATATATATATATATATAAGGTAAAAAATACACGCACTACCAAGGTTTCGAACTTTCGGTCTCGTGGATTGCTACTCTGTAACACTATTCATGTCCGCTTAAATTAACTGAGCACCACAAATCAGATATATTTGAAGGGGAGGGGCTAAGGAAGAGTTGTAGGAACTAGAAACAAAAAATAAAAAATAAAAAAAATAAGAATAAAAATTTTGTTCATCCGGGCTCGTACTGACTCAGAGTATATTTATTGGTTTGTCTACGTTTCGACATTACCTCGGACCGTTGGTTTAACAGGTTGGCCTTGTTTGAGTACGTCGCTATGGCCAACTTTTTTTCCTGATAGAGTCTACAAACATTTTCAATGCATCTGTAAAGCTTAACTCTCCTTAATACACTCCACTTTATGCTGGGGCTTTTATTGTATTTCTTTTTAAATTCCCACACATACTTTGCCAGTTTAGTGCAACTGCTGTGGCTCTCCATTTTGAAGGAGGATTCATGGTTGTACCACCTTTTCTTAACACGCCTTCAGTTCACCCTATGTATGCTTTGTTCTGCCCCGAGGGATCCTTCACGCCCGCCTTATATACCACGCTCTTCACATTGCATCTATCTTCCAAAGGACACTTATTTGCAGTTAGAGGGGATTGTATTAGTGGTGTTGTTATTAGTAACTGTCTTGAATTTCATTGAGTTGCGGTTCTTTATAATGCTATTTACATTATTGTTACAGCAGTAACTTAGTTTTACAATAATTCTATTAAACACTTTTTGTAGGTTAGAGGTTCTGGGGAAATGGTTATTTACCAGTTTGAAAAATATTTTGCCTATATTTGTTTTTACTTTC